AATACCCCCCCCCCCCCCCCCCCCCCTAAATAGGGACATTACCATAATTTATTTATATATTTATAATTGAATCATATATGTTTTGACCATGTAATTTTTGTTGATGTCGTTCCATATATGTAATTACCCTTGACACCTTTTTGTATTCATAACTGATTGGCTTGGTCACTTAGTACTAACTCGGTCGGGCATGAGTCATATGACCGATTGAATGATCATCGACCGCCTTTTCAGAGGGGACCTATTGCGAAGACGCATTGCCCTTAGGATAGATTATTCTATCAGGTGGATGGTGTATCATCGTAATCTAACAGGCAGCCTATCTTCGGTCAATGTGCCTATATTGAAGAAATCACTTTCAGGTGATTGTTGATCTCTATAATGGCGGATGTTGGTTACGTAGGCATCGACGCGGTCACGTTGTGTCTGTTGGGTCAGTCAGTCTTTCATTTGGTCGGCTTTAGAGGCTGACTTGTATTATGGAGAATGTTCGTACATCAATCCACTTCGCATGTTCCATCGTATCTTCTCGAGATTGATGTTGGTGTATTTCTGATGTACATAATTAGTGCATTGATTATCTTATTTCCTTGAAGATGACAGCTGCCATAAAAATAAGAGAATTAATAACATGATTGTTCACATATAAGTAATAAATATTGCTAATAATTATACTTACTTGATTTTCGTGTCGCTTTTCTTATAAATAGAGCGCAAAGAGAACTTTTTTGTTTTTCTCACTTCTCGAAATCATTACCTTTTAATCGGGCATATATGCGAAAAAAAAATATGTCAAGTGCTAAGAAACAAATGAGGGAGGAAGCGCTAATGAAGACCTTTGGGCTTCCTGCTTAAAAAAGAAAGAAAAAACTAAAAAGTTCTTGCCCGTTAAAAAGAAAAGAGGAGGCCCGACTGAGAAGAGGAAGGAGATGAGAGAAAAGTGGTTGGTGCCAAAAGGCCGGTCGAAGGGACTACGCCTGAAGGATTTAAATTAGTTAAAAACCAACGTCGAAGAAGCCAGGTGTGGAAGAGGTTGGGGAATTGTCCAATCTACTGTAACTCTGTTGTTAGCAGATTGTTCAATAACATACCCTAAAGGAGTTATAGAAGATGTCCTAGTGAAAGTGAATCAATTTATCTTTCCTGTTGATTTCATTGTTCTAGATATGGAGGAAGATAAAGAGATACCTATCATTTTGGGGAGACCTTTCCTAGCCACAGGAAGAGCAATGATAGATGTGCAGAAAGGGGAATTAACAATGCACGTCAATGATCAAATTGTTACTTTTAACATTTTAAAATCAATGAAATACCCTGCCAAAGGTAAAGATAGTGATTGCTATAAGATGGATGTTATAAGATATCTAAGTGAATGCCATTTCAGAACTACTTATGAAGAAAAATCTGAAGTACAAGATTTGGAACATGAGAAAGAAGAGGAATTAAATAAATGTGAAGATCTTTTTAAGGAAAATTTAAATTATTTTCGAGAAATTTTTGAAGTTTTGGACACGATAGACCAAGATAAATCATTATGTCCATCTATTGAAAAACCTCTAGAATTAGAGTTGAAGTTCCTTCCTGATCATTTAAAATATGCATTTTTTCAGGAGATTCCTCTACTTTACCAGTCATAATTTCCTAAAAATTAATAATGGAAGAAGAAGAAAGGTTGATGAAAATTCTAGAAAATTTTAAGAAAGCCTTTGGATGGACAATTACTGATATTAAAAGAATCAGTCCTTCAATTTGTATGCATAAAATTCATATGGAAGAAAACTGCAAACCTATGGCTGACCCGCAAAGGAGATTGAATCCTGTTATGAAAGAAGTTGCAAAGAAAGAAATTTTAAAGAAATGGTTGGATACTGGAATTATATATCCTATTTCAGATAGTGCATGGGTTAGTCCAATTCATTATGTTCGTAAGAAAGAAGGAGTAACTGTAACTGTAAATGAATATAATGAGTTAACACCTACTAGACAAGTTACAGGGTGACAAATATGCATTGATTATAGAAAATTAAATCTTGCCACTAGGAAAGATCATTTTCCATTACCCTTTCTAGATCAAATGCTGGATAGACTAGTTGGGCATAAATATTTGTATTTTCTGGATGGATATACCAGTTATCACCAAATTCAAATATCTCCTAAGGATCAAGAGAAAAAAACATTTACCAGTCCTTATGATACTTTTATTTTTATAAGAATGTCTTTTGGTTTATGTAATGCCCCTGCTACATTTCAAAGATGTATGATGAAAATTTTTTGTGATTCAATTGAAAAAGGGATTGAAGTATTCATGGATGACTTTTCAGTGTTTGAAACTTCATTTGACTCATGTTTAAAACATTTATCCAAAGTTCTTAAGCGCTGTGAAGAAAAAAATTCAGTCCATAACTGGGAAAAATGCCAATTTATGGTAGCAGGAGGAATTGTATTAGGACATCAAATTGTATTAGATTGTATTAGGACATCAAATATCAAAAAATAGTATGGAAGTAGATCCTGCTAAAATTCAAGTGATCGTTAATTTACCTTATCCAACAAATGAAAGGGAAATTAAGAGTTTTTTAGAACATGCTGGATTCTATAGGCGATCTATTAAAGAATTTTTAAAGATTGCTAAGCCATTATGACATTTACTCGAGAAAGATCCAATTTTTAATTTTGATGAGGAATGCCAAAAAGCTTTTAAGTTATTAAAATAAAAACTATTCACTGCACCAATTATAGTTTCACCAAACTGGGAAAAACCTTTTGACTTAATGTGTGATGCTAGTGATTATGCTATTGGAGCTGTTTTAGGACAAAGATATGATAAAATTTTCAAAGTTATTTACTATGCTAGTAAAACTATTAATGAAACTCAAATTAATTATACAACAACTGAAAAAGAGTTATTAGCAATAGTATATGTTTTTAATAAATTTAGATCATATTTAATTGGAACTCATTGTGTAGTGCATACAAATCATTCTGCTATTAAGTATTTAATGAAAAAGAAGGATGCTAAACCTAGACTTATAAGATGGATTCTTCTTTTGTAAGGATTTAATTTTGTAATATTAGATCGGAAAGGGATTGAAAATCAAATTGTTGGTCATTTGTCCAGGCTTGAATTAAAAAAACCACTCTATTTTGAAAATGAAATTAATGAACATTTTTCAGATGAAAAATCGTTCACTATTAATGAGTGGCGTGTTCTGTGGTATGCTGACATTGTGAACTTTATTGTTAGTGATATTTATCCTATGGAATGACATACCGACAGAAGATGAAATTTATTTCTAAAGAAAAGACTTATTTTTGGGACGACCCATTTTTATATAAATAAGGAAAGGATCCGATTATTCGAAGATGTGTACCATTAGAAGAAACTTATGAGATTATCCAAAAATGTCATAATTCTGATTTTGGGGGACATTTTGGTGTTGATAAAACAACATACAAAATTTTACAATTTGGATTTTAATGGCTTACAATTTTTAAAGATTTTAATGCTTATATCAAAACTTGTGATAGATGTCAATTAGTAGACAATATTTCTAGAAGAAATGAGATGCCCATCAATTATATGCTAGAAGTTGAAATATTTGATGTTTGGGGATTGGATTTCATGGGACCATTTATACTGTCTTTCGGAAAATTATATATATTTTTAGCAGTGGACTATGTATCCAAATGGATAGAAGTTGTTGATTTACCTCTATGTGATGCTCAAAGTGTTGCAAAATTTTCAAAAATAAATATATTTTGTAGATTTGGGATGCCAAGAGTTATCATTAATGATGGGAGAAGTCATTTCAGAAATGCCATAATGGAGAAACTATTAACGAAATATCGTATAAATCATAGGATTGCTACTGCTTATTATCTTCAGACAAGTGATTTTGTTGAATTATCGAATCAGGAAATTAAAAGAATTATGGAAAAATTTGTGAATCCAACGAAAATGGATTGGTTAGTCAAAGTTGACTATGCTTTATGGGCTTGTGGGACTGCATACAGAACTCCTATAGGAATGTCCTCATATAGGCTAATATTTGGAAAGACTTGTCACTTACCAGTTGAACTTGAGCATAAGGCATATTAGGCGATTAAAGAGTTCAATTATAATTTGAAAGATGCTGGTGAGAAAAGATTGTTACAATTAAATGAGCTTGAAGAGATAAAGAATGAATCTTATGAAAGTGCCAAAATTTATAAAGAAAAGATGAAGATGTGGCATGATCGAATGATTCTTACTAAAAATTTTCAGTCAGGGCAACAAGTTTTGCTATATAATTCAAGGTTAAGATTATTTTCAGGAAAACTTAAGTCCAGGCGGATGGGCCCATTTATTGTGATTAAAGTTTATCCTTATGGAGTTGTGAATATTAAAGATCCTAAGT